TTTATCAGTAAATTAAAATAATAATAAACATATAATAGTCATTTAATTTTATTATTATTTGTATAAATAGTCATTTAATTTAAGTTTATCATTGTTAATATAAATAGTTATTTAATTTTATTGTTTTGTAGTATAAATAGTCATTTCAATTTATCTTTTATGTTTATCTTTTCGTGTTAATCTTTCCATATTTGTCTTTTCGTGTTTATCTTTTTGAATTCATCTTTTTGAATCCATCTTTTCAAGTTTATCTTTCTTTTTAAATTCACCTTTTTAAATTCACCTTTTTAAATTCGTCTTTTTAAATTCACCTTTTTAAATTCATCTTTTTAAATTCATTTTTTAAATTCATTTTTTCAAATTCCCCTTTTTAAATTCATTTTTTAAATTCATTTTTTTAAATTCCCCTTTTTAAATTCATTTTTTAAATTCATTTTTTTAAATTTATTTTTGTAAATTAATTTTATTAAATTCATTTTTTTATTTTCTTTTTCTCCTCCCCAGCGTTCGACTTTTCCGCTGCTCGGGTGTACGTACAGCTGCTGTGGCTCCTCTTGCACTTTCCGTTTTTTCTTTTTGGCCCCTTTATTTATTTTCAAATATGTAAATGTAAATAAATAAATAAATAAAGTGGAGTCAAAGTTTATTTATTATTTAAATGTTATAAATGTAAATAAATAAATGAATAAAATTATATTTACATTCTTTGCAAAAAGGATCTGAAGAAAAAAAGAAATGAATTTAAAAAGAAATAAATAGAAGAAATAAATAAAAAAGAAATGAACGAAAAAAGAAATAAATAAAAGAAAGAAATGCACAAAACAAAGAAATGAAGAAATGAAAAAATGAATAAGTAAGTAAAGAACTGAACAAACAAAAGAAGGAACTGAAAAAGAAAGGCACAAAAAAGAAACGAAGAAATAAAACAAAACGAAAAACAAACAAAACAAATAATAAAGAAATAAAACTAAATAAACAAACAAATAAAACAAACAAACAAACAAGACAAATAAACAAACAAACAAATAAACAAATGAACGAAAAAATAAATAAATAAATAAAAGTTGGGGTGTATGTACATATGCTGCAAGAAGAAAGCGGAGTGGCTTTAAATGGAGCAAATAAACAAATAAAGCAAATAAACAAATAAAACAAGAAATAAACAAATAAAACAAATAAACAAATGAGATAAACAAATAAATAAGCAAATAAATGAAACAAATAAACAAATAAATAAATAAATAAACAAATAAATAAAATATTGGAGTGTATGTACAGATGCTTCAAGAAGAAAGTGGGGTGGCTTTGAACGCGGTGGAAAGCGTGGACAAGTTTGTGGTGTACGTACACCAGGGAAAGTGGGACGAAGTGCTCAAAGCTGCTTCCATGGCCAGCCTTTCCGAACAGACGCAGCAGCTCCTTTACGAACAGGTCCTGCTGCTGCTGCTGCTGCTGCTGCTGCTGCTGCTGTGAATGCTGCTGCTGCGAATGCTGCTGCTGCGTATGCTGCTGCTGCTGCTGTGAATGCTGCTGCGAATGCTGCTGCTGTGAATGCTGCTGCTGCTGCTGCTGTGAATGCTGCTGCGAATGCTGTTGCTGTGAATGCTGCTGCTGCTGCTGCTGTGAATGCTGCTGCTGCAAATGCTGCTGCTGCTGCTGCTGCTGCTGTGATGCTGGTTGGCGTTGGTGGTGGTGCTGCTGCTGCTTTTGCTGCTGGTTGAGGCGCTGCTGCGGAGTGGCTTTTCGTTTGGTTTGCTGCTGCTGCTGCTGCTGCTGCTGCAATCGGGTTGCTGCTTCAGTCTTAATGGCTGGTGCCAGGGTTTAGGGTTTAGGGTTTAGGGTTTAGGAGTTCGTGTTGCGCTGCGCCGGCGAAATGAAAGACTTCATCGCAGCTGGCGAAGGAAACAAATCAACAAGACCAACTGCTGCTGCTGCTGCTGCTGCTGCTGCTGCTGGTGCTGCTGCTGCAGATCTTTTTCGAAATGCTGGAGCTGCGGGAGACGGAGCTGGCGCGGCTGCTGCTGCGGGAAACCGCCGTGCTGCAGCAGCTGCGGCAGCAAACCCCCGAGAGGTTTAAAAGACTTGACCAGTTGGCGAATAAACCCTTTTTCGATGCCAAGGAGGTTTACCAAGGCTCTTCCAAGGAAAAACGCAGAGCCGCCATTGCCCAGGGTGCGCGAGGGTTTAGGGTTTAGGGTTTAGGGTTTAGGGTTTAGGGTTTGGGGGCTGCAAGGGGGGGCCCGGCCTCGGGTCGTCTCGGGGGCAGCAGGCTCCAGGGTTTAGGGTTTAGGGTTTAGGGTTTAGGGTTTGGGGCTGGTTCTGCTTCGCCGCCACGCGGGCGCGGGGCGCGACGAGGGTTTAGGGTTTAGGGTTTAGGGTTTAGAGTATTAGGCCTTGAAGCTGAGCCTGCAGCTCCCCAGCCTGAGTGCTAGGGCTCAGAGCTGCGGGTATAGCCGCGGGTTTGGCTTTGAGGCGTAAGCCCAAAAGTTTAGGGTTTAGGGTTTAGGGTTTAGGGTTTAGGGTTTGCAGCTTTGGCGCTGGAGCTGGACTCGGTCCCGCCCTCGCGGCTG